AAAACAAGGATTTCGTAAAAGTCTCTAAATTTACAGTGGAATATAAGGTGTGTACAACGAATCAAGACAGAGTACTTTATTGTCATCATATTGCCTTTAATTTAGTGTTCACTTCATATATATATATATATTATACTCTATAGATATATATACCAAAAAATATATTATAAATATATATCTTGTCTATCAATTTTTGTAGCCTGACTTAGTTGTTCCTAGATTCCTTTACTGATTTTAACTGATCGATTTAACTGAAAAATCATCGTTTGTTTTCTTTCTTTCAAATTCTTTCTATTCGATCCTTTCGTCGTATAGGTCGCAAGTGATCCCATACGCAAATTACCGTTCAGGTGCTAAATTGTGTTTAACACTAACTACAGTCGGTTTCGATAAAATAAATTTGTTTGAGCACTTTCAGGTCACGATCCACTGACAGAAACATTTTTTAACCCTAGCACTACCTAACTATTGCCGATTTCGAAAAACATAAACAATACATAACACTATGTTTAACAAGATTAGGTCCAGTAATATGAAATGTAGGGAACGTTAACCTCATATCACGAAACGGCACTATTTTATAACTGTGCGACAGGTCGCGAGATCGACTCGTACGCTTTGGAATCTGAGACCATTCACTCAGATATCATCTTTTGCACTCTTAGCAGACAATTCGAACAGTAAACAATGGAAAGTCATAAAATCAAGTCGTTCCCGAATATGGACTTTATTTTGGAATTAGAACGGCAACCGGCTCTACGATAGCCCGCCGTAGAAACGGTAAAGAATCGACTACTTGACAGTTCAAAACGTTCAGTCAAAGGTGGTTCTCGTCGAAGGCCTTTTATGAACGTAAATGACGAGATATTTTTAGCTGTAGTGCAACCCAATCTAACTCAAAGAGCCTGACTGTTGTCACTCCAGTTAATGTATCTAACACTACAAGACTTCTTCATTTCAATCAAATTACTTAGATCAAAAAATAGCACAAATAAGTGCTGTAAGATATAAACGAGGAACGATCAAAAGTGAAAACAGCATCACAGTGACCCATTTTTGCATTGAATTGTCACTTGTGACGAAAATGTGCTTTTAGCTATAATCGCAGCCGGCCGTATCAGTGGGTGGATGCACTTGAACCAGCGAGGTATCACCTATTATAGCAAATGGACAACTATAATAACTTACGGCGTCTGCTTGGCCTACTGCAGGTATTATCGGCTGCAGCTGCATGAGTCTTGATTACGGCTGAAATGTACAGTCAACGATTCGAGTAGGTGATAAAATAATAACAGCCATATTTAGTGAACAGAAATAAGCCAAAACAATTACATGACAACGCTCGAATCACATTTCAACAATTAGGATGACAAAAAAAAAGTTAGAACTGGGGTCTCCAGCATCCACCATACTCGCCACAGTTTGCTCCCATCGATGACCAATTTTTTCAAGAAGTCCTTTATATGGTTCAAATCTCAACATGATATGAAAATTAGTTTTCGGGATTTCCGGGACATTCGTAACACGGATTTCAATAAAAGGGAAATAAACAATTTACTGCCCAAATTTCTGAAGGTCATGTATAATGATTATGCATACTGTGATCGAAAATAAAACAACTAGCTATGTTTGAAAAAAGTTGAAAAGTTAGAGTGATTTTCTAAACAACAATTGGATAAATCACAGTGCTTTTCCAGCGTATTACAGATTACCGGCAATGTCTAATTTTTCACCTACTTGTTTTATACGGCCACAAGGCAGGCAGTGCATCCAATTAAGATAGAACCTAGCGTTGAACAACTGTAATGGATCAATCGTCGGTATTCTGAGGTCAAAAAAAGTTTGATTTGACTGTAAATATATTATTAAGATTTATATTATTGGAGTAGCTTATTGAGCATACTTTTTACAGCTACGTATCGCATATAGCCGATCTTTACTGAACTTGCTATAAATAAATTGAAGCGAAAATGTTGTTGAGTTAACATTAGAGTTCAGCGCATTTTGAGTTCAATAGAATGGCTATATTCACACAACGAGCTTTCCAAATATACCTGTATAGTAATCAAGGTGGCCCCGAAGTATAATATATCGAATGAAATGTACGATAATTATCGACCACGCATATACGGCACGGCGCACGGCAACTGTGCAAATTGACCAAAGCGATGTAACAAGCAAATAATTCGACACGCCGATTCTACGTTCCTGTAACTTACAACACAGCACACTACAGGAGATTTGTTCCAAATCTAAATGCTCTCTTTTATATAATTGGAGTTGTATGGTAAGCAGTGTTCTTGAATTGAATTTAGAAAATACACAACTATATCAGTTATAGCGAAATAGGCCGACATAGTTTTTTCGGTCCATGATAATAATAGTAAGTGGCCTAATGTTAGATCCTAGAATTTGCTCAGCTGTTGTGTAAACATAAACTGATTCGAGCTTCATTCCTGCCTAGTGAAGTTGATTTTACCGAGAACCGGCTATTTATTATAACCACGATGACCCGCCTGATAAGCCAAACAGTTTTAGCGTCGACTTTGAACAAGCGCACATTTATACAACCTTCCACTAAAAAAAGTGATAACTCCAGGGTTGGTTTAAAAGCAAGCATCACGCAATCTATGCAGAAAGCTCTGATGGCAACAATATCTGTGGCTACTTGTTCCAATTTAATCTCAGTGAAGAATACTGTTGTGTTTATGAAAAAGCCCCCAAGATATTTTTATATGACTGGTTTAAAATGCCGCCAACAGGTGAAATGCTAAGAAATGATGATCTGTGAGCATGACGTGTCTTGAGCACAGTACTGGCCACAGACCATGATCTAAATGCTTGCTTCCCACAGTAGATTTAGGAAAACACCAGATGTTTTTTTTTTTAAGAAATAGCTTCCTAGAATACAGCTCCTTGCGCCTCGTTGTGTTACAGCTCAAAGTAAAGATACCAATGCTCTGTTCTCAATCTAATTTGTCAAAGTTATTTACGCACAACATGAGACTTTTCCTAAAACACCTGAATTCTTTGGCGAACCTTGGCTTCAGAAATAGTACTTGCCAAATTGGACGCTTAAATCGGCTCTTGAAAAATACAACATGAGGAATACAAATATTTATTTTTGGTCAGTCACTCAAAATGTTTTGTATTTTTCAATCAACAGTAACATCAACCATTTTGCGCGGTAAATATTTACTTTCAGCAATAACGAAGAGTATAAAATAACTAAAAAACAGATAACGAGGAACATTTGATTGTTGTTCTTTACAACTCCATTGTTATATTGTATAAGAGCAATATATCTACGTAGGATCGCGACGATAGTAGGAGTTTAATAAAACCTAACGTACAACTGGAATAAATATAGGCAGCCCGGTGTACGTCGACGGCACGAAAGTATCTGAGTGTCTAAACAGGCCAAAGAAATAATAATGGCGTAGCTTCGAAGAAGCGCATCTATACGGCAACTGAAATGACAATGCTCACATGCACCTTCCAGTAGTCGTTTGCGTTCTGTGACTAGCTCTTCAGTAAAACGCTTTTTATGGATAGTTGTTAAGTAGAGAGTCCGCTAAATTGCGACTGGAGCTTTCATGGTGAAACATTGCGGGTTATGGGTTAAATTAACTTCAGTAATATAGGTAACCCGAACAAGTAATTATTATACCCCCAGGCTGCTTAGCTGTTACTTTATAAGAATGTAATATTGATTCCCACGGAGAAGGAGCGACGTCCATAACGATGACACAAATGCTTTATGCCCAGCTGAGGGCTAACACCGAGGGGTGACATGTTTCGAAGGCGTGTCGACTTTATGGAAAAACCAATGTTACGTGTGGTATGGATGAGCAAGGATAATACCATGAGATACAGAAACAGTGTGAAAAAGTTTGTAGGAGTCCGCAGGAACATTTACCAGTTGTTTACAGCAAACTTAGCAAAAGCCACCTTTCGAAGACGAAGCAAGAGAGCGTTGTGCCTCATAAATGAAGTTAAGAAGTTTACAACAGGCAACACTTTCGTAAAGTTATTTTTTTTAGAAGAAGCTTGTTATTATTTCTGTTTAAAGATCTGTTCAATAATAATACTAATAGTAAAGTAGAGATAATTACCGTCATTTTACAGATTTTTTTTAACAAATTTAAAGAAATTCCCAAAAATTCCAATCAACGGAGTCAATATGCGCAATAAGATTTGCGTAATCATGCGATTTAAATATCATTATTTGAAAATGTTGACTAATAACTATGTTGATAATCGAACCATGTATATCGCAAGGGTACATATGTGAAATTTAATTGGCAAATAAACCGTGAATGACGTATTAGGTGAGGCACCAAAATTTTAGGGGATTATTTAGCTTGAATGCGTAGCGGAAATAGTATGCCCTTCTATTTTACCCAATACAACATTCTGACCAATTTAAGCTAGTCAAGGCCTTTCTGTAATTACGTAAACCTCTAACAATTGTTTATTTATTTCGATGATTACGGCATCGCGTGCGGTTACTTTAAACAACCCTGCTGTACTAAGACAAGCAAACAAATCATCTTGTGAGCTGTGTGCTGGCCTTATAAATCATAGATTTTTTAGGTAGTGCGAGTATGCTAAAAAGGATCATCTTATTCCCAATACACTTCAGCTCACCTATATAGCAATGTAATGTATCAAGAAATATTTTACTGTTAACGCCCAGTACTCAGAATATACAGCAGTCATTCTAGCCAATAGAACGTCAACATTTTATATATATATATATATATTTATATATGTATATATATACGATCATTAAAGCAAACTATGTGTGCAAAGAGAAGCATTGATTTCTAGGCTGAGTTGTCAATTGAACCGGTGGTTATATCACCGTGACTACTGGCTGAATGGAGTTGGACAAAAAAAAATAAAAATAATTTTCGTCCTTCATGCATTAGCAGCTACTACAAGTAAAACTATATATATATATATATATATATATATAAATTTAAGACTTCACTTACACATATGCGGGCTTGAGAAAAACGTCATCAAGCGCTTGATTTAACCACATCAGCCGATGAGTGATTGGTAGAATTTCTAGCAAATGGATAATTCTGGTACGAATTCACACTTAATCCATCGGCGAAATCACACTTCGTTCTAGCTGTGAACTCTACTATATCTATCTTGATGCAGGACCTCACTGTCTATAGGTCATAAATAATTGTCTGTTTCACAGCACGATCTGTCAACCTAGCCGGTCGTCCATAGCTCAGATTGTTCTTGTGAAATATCCACTTCTCTTCCTATTATTACAAGTAATTTGCTATTATGCACACAACGATCGACACAGCTGATCGCGTCCTCGTGGACAATATCGCCATCGTTGGCGTCTGTCGTCGCTATAGTTCGCCGTTCCCGTAGGTGGTCATGAGCTATAGACGTGCTATGCATTCACGCATATTAGGCAGCAACTTCCTCCGGTCTTCTTTTGCGCATAGCCGACTCAGGAGTTGTCTATTGACCCGAATTCATTGACCTGACTACACGGTGAAGCGATTAGAACACCGTGACCAGCTGCCCCAACCTATGCTACTATGTACTACAACACGGGTAGAGAAGCAGATCGGCGGGCAGCTGACCACTGCCGGAAACCGTCACGCACACAGGCCAGATGGATGCACTAAGAGCAAAACAGAGAAACACCCGGCGAGTTGGTTACCTAAACTGCAACTTTTTAGCTGCAGCAGAAAAATGGAGCATTAAACCGAAGGGACCGACCTTAGTTTGTTCGAAATTGACGGTTAGTGTGCCTTTATTGCCTGCTTAGCGAGCAGTCTCGTTGCACAAGGCAACCATACAAATCGATAGAGATTTACTTAGATTGATTAAATAGAACCACAGGCGAAAAAGTGGGACCGGAATCTAAAAGTGTAAATACGACACAGATGAACTAACAAGTGCATTTATTCCTGAAGGAATAAGGATGGCATGGGGGTTATAGCGGAAGCGGGTTACAGGTCAGGCGATTATCCACAACGTCACCTCGCTACTTTTCCCAGAAGCTTGTCTCGTTGATTGTTTGCTGATGTTGATGCTGACGTTTCCATCGGCGGCTATTGCCTTTACTGCCTCACGTAATTGTTATCGTCGTCAACTACCACTGATGACAGTTGTAATTTCCGGTACAGTCGATGTGCTGCCGCTGTCGGAAACCAGACGAGGCCTCTTGTCACAGTTTTCTATTAGTTTATTAGTTTGCAAAATGACCCTTCGAAAAAGAGCAACCCATTCGGGAGCCGTCCTGGTTCATGTGCATACGTACACAAACGCACACACGTACGCACGCATGCATGCACGCCTATAACAACAGCAATCATGGATGGTATCGTTACCGATGGATAACTAGGTACCATCTATTGAATACAGTCTGTTGTCGTGTACTTCGCCGCTGCCCGTAATTTTTTTCTTGTTTCAGTATAACAGCGGAATGACAAAGCCAGTTCGAGATTTCTAGTACGACTCAACCAGCAGATGCGCCTACAATTGAACGGGCAGGGAACAGCGACAGCAGGTACCGATAGAAACGGTAAATCAGTGGCCGCAGCGGCAGCTTATTCGGGAACCCGTTCGGTACTACACTTTTCTAATGGGAGTTGTAGCAGTGCTGATCGTTGCAGTAAGAAGTAAAAACCATTAACGGGTGCCATTTTTCGTTCGCTGTCCTACGCTATCGAGCGCGCTAATCTTATCCCTTTTAGGTTTATTTTCGAGTAACCACAGAATAAGATCATCCGTACTCCTGACACTCTTTTGAGTAGTCACCGTAGCCGCTGCTACTGCTGTAGTGGTGATCACAATAGCAGTAACATACTCAGACACAAACATACATCACCCACACTCCGTAGCACTCAACACTCGAACTAACACTCAATACACAATCAGCACCAGCTCTCTGCCTACTGCCATTGCGAATAGAAATAACACAACGATACTAATAATAACAATAATAATACGGAATAGTCGGGTGTACCCGACAGACAGACGAGCGACCGGGCGGTAGGCTAACGAACAACAACAGCGAAGCCACAGCAATGGAGAAACAGCAGCAGCGGTTGTCGCAATCGCGTTTGTAGGCCGTCGCCGCGATTACAGACACATTAGCAGTAGCAGTAGCAGGAGCAGCCTGATAAACATAAGTTGAACGATACAGGCAGGCAGGCAGACAGGCAGGCAAGTGAGTTCTCCTGCAGAATCCAACTCAAAGTCAACAGGACAGGTAACCCCTGCCGCTGTTGTAGCCGCACGACAGTAATATCGACACACGCTCTTACGGCTCAGACGTACATAGGATTGAGGCATACACACAAGAGAGACCAACTAGAACCGGCGGCAGTTGCCGCTGCCGCTGCTTCTGCTTTCCGTCTGCACTCGCCTTCGCCTTACACGCACAGCAGACACTGACTGAATGAATGAATGAATCAATTAACGAAAAGTCTGTTAGTCGAAGGTTATCTGCTGCTATACGTATGTGTTCTGTTTCCATGGAGACGAGTACGGCTGGCCGTCTGAAACACCGTTTAACGGCGGTACGGGACGTAAAGCTCGAACAATCGGTTCTGCCATTTCCTGTGATTCTTACTGTTGTTATTATTACGTGCCCATTCAAAAAAATATCAAAACAAACAGACAACAACCGCGCACAGGTTTCTACTTTGTGCAGACGAGACCCTTCGACTAACAATATTCGGGGTAGCAGTAGTAAGGGCTTTCGCCCCATGAACCTTGGATCTCCTAATCTTGGTTCGGTAGGTAGTTTCTATATTATTTCAAGCCGAAAGGCTCGAAAAGATGGCTAATGTGCTATAAAATTCCATAAATCGCTTAACGATTCATGCTTCCGTTGAGTTCCCCACCTCGCTAGATGAGTTAAGTCCCGGACGGGGTCTTGTCTATTCTACCGAAGCTTCCTTTTCCATTTTACAGGTACTAACCATTACTGTTGACTTCCAATGTCGAGTATGTCATGGATAGGACTGGGTTGGTGGGTGTAACCATTTGAAGCAGGTAGAAGAACGATAACAGAAAATTAAGTCGCCCGTGTGGGTTTACAGAGCATTACAATTTGTCCATTCAATTTTTGTCGAACATACTTTTACCGAGAGCCGGGCCATGACAAGTGTCATTCTAAAAATCTATTTTAGAATAAGGCTGCTTCTCGTTGCGGATCGCGAGGGGAGCTTTGACGGTACGGTAAGCGCCTCCGGGAAACGCCGCACGAAGCTGTAAAACTAAAAAAAAGCCGTACATGTATGATAACTGAATTATCGAAAAACGAAAAAGTCAACTATAATAGATATTTAGCTATGCAAGAATTCGAACACGCCAGAGGAGTGGAACCTACTCGAACCCGTTCTCAATTGTTTTACAAGATCAAAAAGTTTTCTGAGCCTCCAGCTTTCTGTCGAAAAATACATCGTAATACACTAACATTGTATCAAGTACTCAATTTTTCAAAGGAAATTTCTGTAAAATTGTTCTACTTCAGCGATGTTATTGGCGTACAGCAAAAACGCCGCCGAAAAACCACGCGTCGACAAACAAAGTGATTTCTTAGACCGTTGTGCTATCATAGCCAAAACATGGCGCTGGCTTACCTAACCTATTTGTCAATAAGCTACTCCTACATGGCGTTAAAGACTGACAATAGAGCGTAGGATTTTGATAGGTTCAGTCTAAATATTGGATAGTCAAAAAAGTATTGACGGCTTCAATATATGAAATGAGTAATTTGTACATGTAAAGTGGATACTATTTTATTATCTGCCAAGTGATTTTAACCTCGATTGACACATAGAATCTTCTATTGAGTAAAACATTTAAATAGCAATAGCAATAATTCAACAAATACTTTACGTCTATTAGAGCAAATACTCGATCCTTTGTGAATGCACACTATAAAACTGTTGACATAAAAATCACTACAAAAAATATGTTTGAATGGTGTATTTGCGGAAAGGTATCGGCAACACACATGGTGTCGACAGTTGAGCTTTATAGAATGATAAGTTCCGTGGTAATTAAGGGACAAGACTATACCGCTGACGAGGAACTTTAATACTTGATACTAATAATATTTAAAGCAGATTCTAAACGGGACGTCGATTAATATAGATGAAGGTCATACCTACAACCCTCTGCCTAACCATAGATGATACACATTGAAGGTTGGTAGACAAAAATTATTTACCAGTATCATTTTTCTCATTGAGATTATTGCTCGCTTAGGTTTGCATATTGCAACTCCATAAAACTTTTCCATATTTTAAAAATTATGACCTGTTTTGCGCAGCGATGGAAAACAGCAACTAAAACTATTGTATATACTCTTTGAATTAGTTTTTCAACGTCATAACTCTCATTTTAATGATGACTTCGTGTTTTGGAACAAACGTCGCCCTGTTATAACATTTCCTTTAATCGTAAGAGGCTATTTTGTGTCTCACTTCTTGTATTAAATAGGCAACGCAGCAACATGTCCAGTGAAACCGTAGAGCGACAGGGACTCAACTAGTCATTTTCAAAAGTAAAACAAAAACTATCGGTTAAAATTAATATCGGATCCTATAAAGATTACCCTTGAGAACACCCTGAACCTTGCATAGTTTTCCTGCAAATTATGGCGGAAAGTGTTCCGGAGGTAAGTTCTTCAGAAAACATAGCTAGCACGAAATAGAATTTCGCCTAAATTATTCACATTAAAAATACTCAGCCAGCCACTTGTTGAATGTGTATTCGAACCCTAGCATCCCAACTATCTACAGGTAACTAGGCATGGTTGCTAAACAGGTGGTCCCACCGGAATCATTTGACTAGTTATAAATCATCACCATTACAATTACTATAAAGGTAACTCCAGCTCGATTGACTCACATTTACTTAAATAAATCTGTATACGAACGTCCAAAGTACGATCGGAGATGTCAATATCATACAAGATTTCAATGGTGTCAGACTTTCATCATTTCTGGCAATGGTCACAGCGTTCAGTCAAATTAGTTTCTATGAGATGTGACCGTACAAATCGATTGTACGAAGTTTTCCCCTCATCGAGTTCTGTTGGTACAAATACTGAAACTCGAAGAAGTTACTTTTTGATTCATAACGGCAAATATTTGTTTTAAATGTTGTAATTCGTCTACTATTTATCTAACGACTTTCGTAAGCTGTTCTCGCTTAGGTCCCCTATCAATTAAAGCCTCAGATAACATACCTATTTGCAAGCACTTCAGTAACGCCGGAATATATATGCACGTCTTATCTATCGCCTATATTCTGTAACAGTGTCTGTTTTCTTGATTTTGAAGTTGCTATTAACAGCTGAAAGAGCGCTCTGTTTACTCGTTCGCAAGACATCTATCGTAAATCTGGATTTGCAATCACATTTATAATTCTTGCCGACGCAATGCGCCGTCTTTACACAAACAGTGTAAAATAATTATTACCACGCCCCACGCAGGTTATCATTATTCTCGAGGCGGGTTTTTCTTTTTCTATATTTCCTCTCTATTTATTCATTTCTTATGTCTGTCTACTCGGAACATTTTGGATTTAATAATGCTTAAAAGCATCTTGCGCTACAGGCCATCACGCATTTTATATATCTAATCTTTTTATCGCTGGTAATCTAACCATGCCTTAGTGGTAGTTAGCTTCATATAATCACATCTGCCTACAGACAAGACATATCATTTGAGCAATGGTTCTACGCCTACAAGAGTACGGCAATGCAGGGATAGATTGAAGCTGCCTGTAACCACCTTCGGTAATGAATATCTCGTTACTCGAGATTTAATAGAGTTTCATTCGTACCGTTCCGACAAAATGCATAGTACCAACGCAGATTCTCAACGGCATTCGTGAACAGTTAACAAGGAGAGATTCGTCTCTTTTGCACTGAGGATTTAAAAAGATTTGATTAATTAATTCTGTGTGACAGCGTCACCATCAATACAATAATTATAACAATGAGAGTGTACTATAGAGTACACTTCTCAGTAGCTAAAGAATATAAGCTGCTCTTTAATAGCATACGTCAATTGAATTTAAACTTGTGGTCTCTAATATGAAGATGTGGTCACATGCGTTCTCAGGCGAAGATACTTTCGTAGCAAGAGCTTCATACACTGCTACGCCAGAATACTTGCGATCCTTTTACGATAAAACTCACTTAATCTCCATTTGTTTTTACCTGCAAAGAACCACTTCAAGCCTACTGCACTCTACGGAAACGAATTTTTACCTCATTCGATTCTGAGCACTATCGGTATTGCGATGAAAAAGGAGCCTAATTGGTCTTAAAGTAATGAGAATTTTCTACTGAGTACTGCGCAACGCAATACTATCGACAAAGAGCTATTATACTGTGTGTTCCTCCTGAGATTATACTAGAGAATGGCCCATGGATTTTGCTCGCACATTGAAAAGATAATCGTCATTTCAGATCAAGTAAATATTGCGCGCTATTATTAACACGTTGGAGAAACAAACACTGATCATAACCGCATGCTGCCAGCCGTCACTAAAAAGATATATAAGATTTTTCTTTTAAAGGGTTTAAAAGATTTCTTGTATAGTAACAGCTTGGGATCTTAGAAATTCCGGCCTAAGAAACCTCTAAGCGAAGCGCAGCAGCGGCAGGTTCTGTTCTGATGGAAAAATCTGAGTGATTTAAAAGAAAAAACAACACCATACACCGACACTATAGAAGCTCTGTTCATGATTCCTTTTGAAACTGATGAAAACATATTTGCATTATAAAAATAGGAAGGATATATCGATTTGTTTTCTCGATATGCATGTGCATCACTCTCCGTTTCTGTGATGCGTTTGTAACTCCTAAGGCTATGTCCGGGGTCATATGCCTGCGTAGGCATGCATAGCTGTAGGCCACTTTTGAAGCCTAGCTGTAAAAGCCGCCGTAAAAGGCGCTGTAAGAACCGGTATAAAATTCGTAAACATATAATAATATAACGAGCAGGAAGGATTTAATACGACCACAGTTTAACATATCAGCGGAACTTTGTAGCGGCTTCCAAAAACTTACTCAATACTCCTAGATCTATACGCGACTCGTCTATTACCTCAGATGAGAAAATAACGGAATCGCTAAATTTGTATTAATTTTAAAGAAAATGACTTTTTCTATTTTTCATATGCAGACGTAGAACTAGATAGTTGTCTTCAATTGTCTGTAGCCTTATTAGATAAAATAAATACTTTATTAAACTTATTAAATGTAATATCATATATTTCAAAAATCATTTTTTCTTAAAAATTATAAACATAGTAAAATTCTTATAAAACATATATCTGCCCGCACGGTAGACCGGCTTAAACACTCGGAACGATTTGCAATACCAAGGAAAAATATAGATTGATACTACTATATCTCAACCAAGTAGTGCAAAGTTGCAGCGGATCATAAAAAGCTGCCAAATACTGTTCTTCTCGATCTATATTTGATCGGCCTATTATCTCAACCGAGTGAATGCTAGAATCTTACTTTTTAAATTACTGTTTCTATTAGGATCAGATGTATCACCCGTAATTTTAAAGATGAAATCATCTTATCATAGTCAAGCCTTTATCCATGCTTTAAGCAGAACACGATGTTATTCACGACGTGAGTCTTGAAAAACGCTTAAGGTATTGTATCCTTTTCCAGAAAGGGATCCTATAGATCTCAGGAAATGTAGCGAGAAACTAAAAGGCAGCGATTAGGTGTTAAGTATGTTAATACGAAGACTAGATACTTTTATGTTCGCCAATGTGTCTAATGCACTCACATTGAGATTACTTTTTATGTTTTTATAAGCTTATCAAATCACACGATCATCCATACATATCTTAAATATAAAATAATTTTACGTCGTTATCCTATACTTGATTACTTCGTGATTCTATTTAATGCAAATACCGAAGATTTTTTTCATCCTTCTCTAATAGAGCAGTCTACGACGACAGTCCATACCAGGCTGGTTTGTTAGCGCACCTCAGAGGTCCTCGAGTAAATAGTAATGAATTAAGCCATCAGTTCAGAAGTATTCTCTGGTTTATATATTGGAAGCTGTGTTGAAATAAAACTGCCCTTAAATTTAAGTGGTTCTATTACAGGTACAATAAATACGTCCACCACTATATTTGCAGTAGTGTAGGAACTGTGTTAAGCGAAGCAACCCACACTATCGAGGGTCTTTGTTATGTCCCGTTCCCACTGGAGCTTTAAGAAAACTTAAATAATAGTATGTGTCTACTCATGTAATACTAACTTCTAACTGATATAATACATACGCTTGCAACACATATAATAAAACGATTCATTGAATTAAGCCATAACAGAGTTCCAAGAAGAATACTTTTCACCGTTTACAGTAATGCGCGAAATCTAATTTGAGCTATATTTATTAATAAGCTTATCGAAAGTCGCGCCCTTGCTAAACAGCTGTTTCCTGTTTTTATTATGTTTTGAAAAATAATCGGCTGGTTAACGAGAATTTCTCTGGTTGTTCATTTAAAAAGATCGCCTAGTTGATGGTGGACAAACATCGAGCAGTTCTGCGTTCGTATGATACGCCAATACCGATAATAAACTCCGCATTCTATTCACTTTGATTAAAACTACAACAATGTGAGAACATTGTTGCGAATAAAAGTGTGTTCGAAAGTGATAAGGATCGTGACGGAGAATTTGAAGCACTTAAAGGTAGCTTGCTAGGCCTAGTACATCAAACTGCGCGCTGCGCAGTTCTTTTAAACTTGGCGCTCTTTCGCTGTTGATCCGTCTGGGGTGTTTTCTTGTGAAAATGCAATACCTGTTGCCCATCGTGTAGATCCAGTCAGCAACTCGACGGAACACGATCTGATTGTTGTATCGGGGGGTGGGGTGGAGGTGTTGCTTGTTTACGATTCTACTGATGTCGCTTCAACAATTATTACCTACTGTGCCTTCCGCCCATTTTCAGAATCTGTTCCATGAACTCCTTCGATATATACTGTATGTACCCTCTCTCTATTCGCAGCGGTAACAGCATGCATATGTCTGCCTGGCTGTCCGTTTCTCCTAGTAGCTGGGAAGAAGCGGACGGACGGGAAGGGGACGTCGTTCGCGCGAATCAGCGCGCGTTCAGCCCACACGTCTACATGCGCAAAATCATCGTCTTCACTACCACTGCTAGAACTAATAATAACAATAATGATAGACATTACGCGACCGGACTGAGAAATGACTCGGTCAGCGGTGCCGAAATAAACAGGGAGAGAGTGATATTGTCGTCGTTTTTGTCGCTCGGTTGGTGCTAGCAGTGATAGGCGCCATCTTTGTTGTTGTTGTTGTTGCTGTTGTGTTGTTCCCGCGTTCCTTCTGTCCGCCAATCGATGAAGCGAGCGAGTAGGCAGTCGTCCGCCTTCGTTTGGCCTCTGGCCGACGACGATGGTGCTGCTTCTAGCGATTGCGGTGTGACATGAGCGAGTGCTCTCAATGAGTGAGCGGCGTTGGCTCGACACTGCGCAGCGGGCAGAGCCCGTATAGCAAAGAGAAATCTCTATTTGAATGTCTCTCTCTGGATGTGTTTGTGCTTGTGAGAGTGTGCGTCTGTGTCTGTGTTTGTGTCTGTTCTCCGCATGTTCGCCCGCTGGCTTCTGCTCGAAGCAAGATCAGCCGCGGTGTGATATATTGAAAATGTTTTGACACAGACTGCTGCCGCCGTGCAATCGTTAGGCAGCAGCGACAACCGAATGGCCCGCTGCTGAGTGCATGCGGTCGATCTGTCTGTGTGCCGGTTTGTCGTGTGTTCGTGAGCTCCGCGTTTGTAATGGTGGTGTCGTCTGTCGTTTCGACGCCCGTCAACGCCACCAGTGGCTGCAATCAACACTATCTTCACTGAACTAGGACTGTGACAGAAAGAGAAGGCTCGCCGTGTACTGTGAGCCTGTGTGGCGTCTACCGGTCTCTCCGTGAGCACTAAACATCGTAGCCACTCGGCTGTGTCCTGCAAACGTTACCGCACACAAAACTTGAATACCTGTAGACTGGTGCCGCCGTACTCGCTGTTGCTGTGTTGTGATCCGTTACGGTCTACTACAGCGTACGGCCTATTCATCCAGGTCTCAACTGTTTGACTTCAAAGCGCTCTTTGCGGTGCAGTTGCAACAGCCAACAGGAAGGCAGGCTTTGAAGACTGACGTTATTTTCATACACAGGAAAATAGACGAAAGAACGCTAACAACCGAGCTCATTGAATACTGCAGACTCTAGCGAGGATACTGCTTCTGCTATCAGCACAAATAAGTGAAACTGAAGGCCAGTGCGATGTCCTATTACTGCCGGCACCAACGCTATCATTACTGTGCTTACACTGTTTACTACTGCTGTATCAACAGCTGCCGCAGAGTGCGGATTACTTTCATCGAACAGTAGTAGTAGTAGTAGCAGTAGTGGTAGTAGTGGTAGTAGTAGTAGTAGTGGTAGTAGTAGTAGTAGTAGTAGTAGTAGTAGTAGTAATAGCAGCAGCAGCAGCAGCAGCAGCAGCAGTAGTAGCAGCAGCAGCAGCAGCAGCAGCAGCAGCAGCAGGACGACAACGACGATGATGATCACATGCTTCCTATAAGTGGGATACGCGAGAAGAGCGTAGTTTGCTCGGTAGTTGCCTGCTCCTGGCGCCACCATCATCGCTGCTGTCCGTCTCGGAAAAGACTATCGAAGTGAGTGACTCCCACCGCGAGAGCTACAACAACACACTGGATGCTGTATTCTACTTGTATAGAGTTTGTTGTTGTTGTTGTTGAATGAGTTCCTCATTGAGTAAGTAAGTAGTCGATCAACCTCCTTCAATTGTATGTCGACATTCGTATTGTTGAACGTGAATACCCATCCCTTCATGACGCAGTTGGATGTTGCGTTATCGTGTGCAATCGTTGTTACCGCCGCGGGCGCTATATTTCTACTATTCTCTATAGTTTGGCGACTACGGTTTCCTTCGGTGATGTGTTGATGTTATTGGCGCCACTGGTGCAAGAACGATCGCCATCGTCCCCACTTCACTACAGGCTGCTATTTGCAAGGCGAAACTGCCTAGTTAAGCTGACTGAACCGACCGATATTTCGAGTCTGGCTCAGCAACGCTGTGAGAACGTTGCTGCATTCCGCCGTCTTCGTCGTCGTCATCGCCGCAGCACCAGCAGCAGCGGCGGCAGCGAAGCCGTACCGCCTACAGCATCACCATCATCAGCGACATCGCGGCGATCTCTCTATCGGCTGCGCTGCTGCGATCGGTGGTTAGTCGCTGCGTCTCTGTGCTGCATGGAACCAGTAGAGGCTGGAACAGAGTGCCTCGCTGCCTACCGATAGCCACGAACCTGACTCTTCTCGTTATCGCTTTTGGTTTGTATCTGTGCGTGACTGAATATTGCCCCTGGGCTTCGTCCGTTATTCACGGATTCAAGTGGCTCATTGCTGGCTTTAGCGTCTTTAGCACTGGCAGTGATCAACGCTACGGGACTTGGCCGTATTCAACCATTACTCTGTTGTGAGTAACAAATGTAAAGGGGAAGAATACCATCCATCTGTCCGCCTGCTTGGGTCACCGGTTCGTATTGTATAGTTTTCGCACTGTAGGTGATCAACTGTGATTGTGACTGACTTACTAAGTACATCTTGAGTTGTCGTTTCAATGATGCTCGTCTTGGTAAAAACAAAAAAAAACTTTTCTCTTGTAAGCCATAAGCCTTTGCAGGCCATTAAAGGGCAACAGTAGCATTAACTTGCAACGACAGCCTAATAGTACTGTTGGTAGCAGCGATACGATTCTACTTCACCATAGAGGTTGTCGAGATACGCGCACACCCGCCACACGGACAGAGAGAAGGACAACGGGTGCCAAAGGCAGACGACTAAAATTACTCACAATAATAATAGCAGTGATAATATTAATAATACTAATAATAACAATTTTAATAATAATAAGTCTAACAAACTACGTACCGAGCCGTTACCGCGGAACGAGCGGAGCGGAAGTCAATCAACAAGTTTTCAGTTCTTTTTCATCTTTTGCGTTGGAACTGTGTGTCGTATGGAGATCCATATCGTAGCTACAATTTCCTGTTTGCTATCAGCTCCATGCATGGACAGATATTCTTTATTAGCACTAATACTACCGTTACAGTTGTGCTAAACGTGTTATCTTTGTGGCCGTTGTCATGTCAACGTACTGTTCGAACACGGAGTAGGATTATCGATTTTACCATCTCGTTTATCGTGCAGTTTTTATAGTTTGTGCCGTGCTATCTTAAACGCTTTTTCACACTTCTCCCTTTGACGGTGAGGACTTAACGCGAATGACTCTACGTCGTGTCAGTGCGTGAACGAGTTACGAATCTAGTGTACAAAAGCTTCGACGGAGGTTACTGCGTGTAATAGTAGTTGTAAAGGTAGTAGTAGTAGTAGTTAATGAAAGAAGCTGCTACTCTATTGCTATTGAGGAAGCCGGACAAGAAGGAAGAAGGGGCTCGCCGTATCTGTTAATAATCTCGCTGATGTTTCTATTAGCGGCGTTAGGAGGTTAGCCAAGTGGCCAGTGAGCAGCGAATGTTCGTTATCATTGGCGGTGTCAACGGCGGCGTTTTCGTCGCCGCCATCGTTTGTCTTGTCTCGTAGAATTTGCTGTTACGAACGCGTTGTTGGCATCAGTCGGCAACGTTGTTGGTCTCTCCCCACGCTTAGGCTGCCATAGGGCTCTCACGTCTGCGTGTCGTCGTCGTCGATCGGAACGTTACCAGCTGTTCTGTTGTTTTGTAGCAGTGACTACTCCTGCGACTAACAGAAGTCTCAAGCTGGGCGATGCAGTGTGCTTGTTTTCGATGTCACATCGTATCGTCACTGGTACGAATACACTAAGGGGAGCTTCATTCCAAAATTCACATAAGTTTTGGTCGAATATTTACGACACTGGGGTATCCGGTGCTTGGCGTGAGTGTGTTTCATGGCGATAGAGATCGGGCGTAAGGCCCTATCCAAACTGTCGTGCTTTCTATCATCGGCCAAGATCAGCCGCTGTGCGTCCCCGCCGCAAAGTCCTCGGGACGATCCGGCCGCCGGTGGCCTGGGGGTGCGTGGAGGCCAGACCGTGGCGGCCCTTAGCATGGAGGCCGAATTCGATGAGATTGAACGTGCCGGGGATTGGCAAAAAAAGTACGTCGACCTGCGACTTCAAAGTACTCCAAATCCCAACCCACTCGCTGCTGAAAGTGGGGTCCTGTTTGCAGAAGCGAAAAAGCTCGACAACCGCAAGCTCAACAGGTACACGGATGTGCTGGCATTTGAGCACTCGCGTGTTGTCCTATCTCGGGGAGATGTAGACTATATCAATGCAAACCATTTAGTCTACGAACGGGCCCGACGAAGCTATATATTGACGCAAGGACCCCTTCCAGAGACAGTTGGACACTTCTGGCTAATGGTATGGGAACAACGGGCGCCTGTCATCATCATGCTCAACAAGATCATTGAAAAGCAACGACTCAAATGTCATAAATACTGGCCAGATTCTGACGAACCGCTTGATATCGAAGAACTCGAACTCAGTGTCGAACTTCTATCTGAGGATGAGACCGATAGCTACATTCGGCGCACGATGCGTTTAGCAGATGGCAAAAGTGGCGATAGCCGCGATGTAATACAGTTCCAGTATACTGAATGGCCAGATTTTGGTGTTCCGAATAGTCCTGACGATTTTCTTGAATTTCTCGAACTTGTACGCGGCTCAGGTCTACTCTCAGGCAGCGAAGGAGATAAGGAGAAAGGTCCTCCGGTAATACACTGTAGTGCTGGTATTGGCCGATCTGGCACCTTCTGTCTTGTGGACTTGGTTCTTAAAATGCTTGAGGATGGTACAGTAAAGGACAATGGCGATATAAATGTACAACATATCTTGTTAGAATTGCGCAGAGACCGAGTGGGCCTAATTCAGACTCACGAACAACTTAGGTTTGCGTATCAAGCTCTCATCGAAGCTTCTAAACGCCAACGTGGCGAATCTACCTCTTCCGCATTCAGAAGTAGAACTTCTTCTGCTGGTGGTAAAAGTAGCCATATCACTAGTGGAAGTAAAGATGTTAAAGAACCAATGGAAACTGAACAGACTGGCTGTAACGGCGATGTCCGGCATCGGGTTGGTGGGCGGCGTTCACGACCGGGCGATGCTGATGAGAATGACGAAAATCGAAAAATCGTTACAGTGGGCACAAGTCAGGACTTTGTCGTTGGTGCGGAACAAAACGACGTTGTTGACGAGGATAATATTGTGCTTCCAACAACAGCAGCTGTTGCAGCAATTGTGGCTCGTGATAACAGCGGTTCCAGGATTTCGAAAACGGCTGCCACGAACGATCGGACAGCCAAGATAGACGGAGAAGCAGCAGTTGAACGAACGTGTAGCAGCAGCACCAGCAGCAGCAGCAGCAGCAGCAGCAGTGAACACATGAACACCAACGGTCCTGAACTCGACGTAGAGACGATGCAGGAAAAAGCTGGAGAGCAGAGGGATGAGGAGCTTCAGACCGAAGCGGAGGAGGGTGGCGAAGAAGAAGAAGGGGCGGCTAGCGACGGCAGTGGCGCTGAGGACGAGGCTTCGTCTCCACAGAAACGCGCCCACCACCGTCTCAGTCTGAACAACTCGGACTCGAAGGAGGAGCCGATCCTGAAGAGAACCAGGAGTCAGGACGAGTAGTGTCTGTGGCTGACGCCTGTAACCAGGCCAGTGGTGCGCGCTATTGCCACTGCTGTACAGAAGCCCTGTGGCCTTCTTGCTAGTTGCTTCACTACGAGTGTGCGCGTCAGCTGAGCCAGGAATCAACCAGAAATCATAAATCACTACAGCCAATCATGACCATTAGTACCACAATAACCATTATAGCTACAACGAATATTGTTACACAAAAAAGGACAAGAAAAATATCCCACCCACAACATCATAAATCGCGCTATGAAATTCGGTAATAAACAATCGACAGCTAACCCTAATCTGTCCTTCATTCATGCTATAAACAGACAACAAAACAGTGTACGTAATTTCTTTATTAGCGTTTTTATGATAGAATACAGTAGAGCAGATTCTAATCTCCCTCATTGATTAAAAAACAACAATTTAAAAACAGCACGTACCTCGCATCTTTAGGAAGATGGGCAGGCATATATCGATATCTGTTCTATATGATACATGTACGCACATTCACAGACATACAAAGACGTGCAGACATAACACCGCCGACACGAAACGATGCAAATAAAAAATTGAAAAAAAACTTACAATAAACAATGTAAAAGGAAAACGTGAACACGTTAATAAACCTACCAATGCATCTCATCGTAGGCCACTGTGAGAAACTGCCAAAGGGTGAGAACAGGCGCCACAAGCTTAAATATATGTGGTCA